ACCCGCCTCTGTGACCTCATCTCCAGCTGCTTTCATATTCAGTTCACTCTGCTTCAGTCGGTCACGCTGGCCAGTTACATTCTCATTCAGGGCCTTTGCACTTGTTCCCTCTATCTGGAGGCTTCTTCCATCAGTCTCTTTAGGTCTTTATTTATATGTCACCTTCTCAGTGAGGCTTTCTCTGATCACCTTATCTATCTAAAATTGCAACCTCTGGCTCAGCTGGTTGGGCATTGTCCCTTGTACCAGAATGTTGTTGGTTCAATTACTGGTCAGGGCATGTGCCCAGGTGTCAGGCTCGATCCCCAGTAGGGGGCATGCAGGAGGCAGCTGACCGATGTTCTGCTCTCACATCCATGTTTTGCTCTCACATTGATGGTCCTTTCCCTCTCCCTTCCTCTCTTTCTAAAAATCAAATAAATAAAATTGCAACCTCTGCCTTCCACTCAGCATTCCCTAACCACACTCCTGCTTTACTTTTCTCCAAAGAACTTATCTGACTTATTATTTTTTCTTTATTGTCTGACTCCCTCCCTACAATGTAAACCCCATGAGGGCCTTGAATTGTGTGTTTTGTTTACTGCTGTATTCCCTGAGCCCGGAATAGTGCCTCACACATAGTAGGTGCTCAATAAGTGCTTTTAAAGATTAAAAAAATATATATTGATTTTGAGAGAGCGAGAGGAGGAAACATCAATTTGTTCCACTTGTTTTTTAAATGTTTTTATTGATTTTTTAGAGAGAGAGAGGAAGGGAGAGGGAGAGATAGAAACATTGATGAAAGAGAAACATCCATCTGCCTCCTGCATGCCCCCCATTGGGGATCAACCCCACAACCTGGGCATGTTCCCTGACCCAGAATTGAACTGTGACCTCTTGGTTCATGGGTCGACACTCAACCACTGAACCACACCGGCGTGTGTTCCACTTATTTATGCATTCATTAGTTGGCATATTGGGATGTCGCTCTAAACCAACTGAGCTACTCGGCTAGGGCCAGTGCTCAATAAATATTTGATGAGTGAATGAATGAACTCTAATATATCAAACAGACAAAGTAGAACAGGGCAGTTTCCATCTTCACTGTTTGGCCTGAACACTTCTTTTTTTTTTTAAATTTTATTGTTGGAAGTATTACAGATATCTCCCCCTTTTTTCCTCATTGATCCCCTCCACCCCGCTGGCCTGAACACTTCTTGTTTGAGAAAGTGCTGAAGTGCTTCTGCCCAGCCAAGAGGGTTCCTCAGTATAGTTTCAGAGTGACAGATGAAGGCTAATGGGAGCCATTGAAAGCATTTGAAGTGTAAATGGCAATTATATAAGTATTTTAGAAAGATCCTTTGAGTAGCATCACACTGCACCCACACTCTCCCCTGCCATACCTTCAGCCTTGGCATTATCCCACTCTGCTTCCTTGCTGCTCAGGACCCTTCCACCTCACCAGGACCATCAACCCATTGAACCTATCACCTTTTCCCTTCTCTCCATCATCCCTCCATGTCTCCTCTTCCTTCCTTAGCTTAAATTGTATCAACTGCTCACTCGTACACATCTTGCCCTTTCTTGTACTCGCCCGGTGAAACCATAACCCTGGTAAATCCAGTTCTTCACCTACTCACCAGCCTGCCCCTCTGGCAGCTGAGTGAGGTGGGAGGAAACCGACTGGCCTCACTTCATGTTCATGACCATTGATTTCAAGTAGGCGCTCAATGCTGCCTCAAAACCCTACATTTCTTGAGTCCAGCCCCTCTCCCATTCTAGAGCAGTGCTTCTCAAGCCTTAATGTGCATACAACTTATCTGGGGATCTTGTTAGAATACCGATTCTGCGTAACTTCCCAGGTATGTGCCTGGTGCTGACTGGAACGTGGACCCACACTTTGAGTAGCAAGGGCCTGGTCCAGAGGCCGAAAACCTTTACCTGATAGTAAATATTTCAGACTTTGCAGGCAACATATGGTGTCTGTTGCAACTGTTCAACTGCCTGTGCAGCTAGACAATACAGAAATGAATGGGTATGGCTGGGTTCCAATACAATTTTAGTTACAGATACTAAAATTTTTAATTCCACAGAATTTTCATGTCACAGAATAGTCTTTTGATTTTTTTCAATCATTAAAAATACAGAAACCATCCTCAGCTTGCAGGCTGTACACAAATAGGCAGCGGCTGGGTTTGCTCCGGTTTCCAAACCTCTCCTCTCTCCTCACACTTGCAACCCTTCCTCCTCCATTCTCACTCTCAGTGGCCTTGCTTCCTAGTCACTGAGAAAATTTAAGCCGTCACAGAATTTCCATAACTTACCTACCATATTCCAGCTAACCAGCACCTTGCACTCAAATCTCCTACCTTCCTCCTGTTCCTACAGATGAAGTGCATGGGCTACAGCCAGCCTTCTTACTTGCTTGTGCCCTCCATCCTAACCTGTCTCCTATTCAGGAACCATGCTCTGTCCTGCTTTTCACTGGGTTCCCATCAACATACAAATAAATAGCTGATCATCTCTCCCATCTTAAAATTCTGCTCTTTACCCCAGCTCCCTTTGCAACTACTGCTCCTTTCCCTCCTTCCCTTTACAACAAAACTCTGAAAGACCTGTCTGTATTTACTGTTTCCAATTTCTCTCGTCCCATTCTTCTTTTGAGATATAATTCACATACCATAAAAGCCATCATTTCAAAGTATGCAATTCAGCCCTAGCCGGTTTGGTTCAGTGGTTGGAGCATCAGCCTGTGGGTTGATGGGTCCCGGGTTTGATTCCAGACAAGGGCATGTATCTTGGTTGCAGGTTGGATCCCCGGCCCCCAGTAGGGGCACATGCAGGAGTCAACCAATTGCTATGTCTCTCACATCGATGTTTCGCTCTCTTTCCCTCCCTCTCTCT